TGCTAGAACCTTGTGGCTTAGTGGTTAAGTCTACTGCTAGAACCTTGTGGCTTAGTGGTTAAGTCTACTGCTAGAACCTTGTGGCTTACTGGTTAACACAACTGCCTAGTATGCCATATAGCCCAGGTTCTAACCCCAGTAAGGGTATGGCTAGCTGATGAGAGCTAAATAGCTTGAAATAGATCTATACTAGTCTCCCTTTATTTATTTATCAGCACAAATGCAACACACACACACACACACAAATATAAATATAAATATATAAAGGATGTATGTATATGTTGCAGCATAACTCTGGAGCGCTTTAAGCAATTTCAACCAAACTTGGCACACAGATGATTTACCCTCTGGAAACAAATACTGGGGGGAGGGGGTCGTTGCGGTAAGACACCCCTGGGGTTTGAGAGTGTGTGTGTGTGTGTGTTCCAGCATAACTCTGGAACGCCTGAGTCGTTAAGGAGAGTGAGTGTGGCATCCTAGAGTGTCAATTGTTTGTGACGTCAGTTCCTTTGCAGCTTCCTCTGGAAAGCCAGCCGTGACTTTCGCCCTCCAGTGGGCCAACGGGGAAGCGCCTGATGGATTTGGGGCAAAGTGCCGGGATCGTAGACAGGGCGGGAAAGAGGAGCGCGTGGGAAGGGAGAGGGCAGGGATGATGGGCATGGGAGTAGGGAGAAGAAAGCCCCCCCCCGCTCCCTCAATGGCTCCCTGTCAGACAAACGCTTCGACGTCTATAAACACCAGGGCGATGCCTGGTTATCTGCTAGTAATATTATAAATCCTATTTTGATTAAGAAAATAAACTGCTGTTCTTTTTTTAACCCACCGCATTTATCTCTCTTGTCCTTTTCAGCGGCCAAGGAAGCTTGTTGCAGCCTTTCATTTACTACAGATTTCTAACCCTCCGTTACTCTTCTCGCAGAAATCCTTACTGCCGGTAAGAGGCCAGGAAAGATTACTCGTGTGTAAAATTACTGTGGGAATGCTTAAGCAGAGAGCTTCTTTCTCTCTCATAGCTGTAATTCCATTTATTTTTTCATTTTTTTTTTACAAAACGCTTTCCCCTTGTCTGTGCCGGAGTGTTTTACAAATTGTGGGAAGAAAATCCAGGTCCAAGTGATAGGATTTCTGTCTTTTAAGATCCGAAGTTTAATCTTCTGCTCCATTTCTTAGTTAACTGGGTTTGGGGACTTCCAGATCAACAATTGTGTTGCTGAACAAAAGCACCGAAAGGGATGCCTTTTGAACCTCTGAAAATCACAAAACTTTGCACAAGTTGCTCCTCGCGTATTTTAGAATTGAAGATCGCCCTATCACTTGTGGAGCTGACTGGCGACGGAGCCACAGCAGAGGGATGAAAGAGCCACATGCAGCCCCAGAGCTGACAGAAATATATACCCCCTTTCGATAGATGAAATTTGCGGTGTATTTTCTACTTTTGCACATTATTGCTGAATTTCTTAAGAGCAATAGTTGTCGAGTATGGCTTGTGTAGCTTCCGGACTTTGCAATATTTCTAGGAGATTTTATGTTGCTGCCGTTAGCCGATTTTGTATCTTTTAAGAATTTTGTTTGCTGTTTTACTCGTTTTTTGCAAGTCACCACAAATACTAAGTGGGCTGTTGTAAGTGGAGGTCTAGCCGTAGCAGAGATGGGATCGCAGCTGTGTTCTCTTGAGTTTCGTAGGTTACATTTGAGAGAAAAAAAAAAAGCTGCTGTTTGACATGAACTTGAAAATATTTTTTTTAACGTCCCGGCAGATGATCCCAACTAAAGCAAGCGCATTCGAGATCTGCCAACCTCTCAGTGCAAAGCTTTATTGAGTACATTATTTCAGCACTATTGAAGGCAAAGCCAGCCCCAGTTAATTCCCGCGCAAACCCACATCGTTACAACCGAGAATTCCCCCTCCCTCCTATGAGTGCAGGTCAGATTGTCCAATGGAGCGTCCTTGTATTGTTATGAGAAAGAGCCTCTGTTTTCGGCTGACCCCCTGCAGATGTGTCCTTGGCTCTCACAGCTCTCCTCCTTGAAGCCTGGAACCTGCATTCCTCCTCACCCTTCCCTCTCCCCCCCCAACGTTGGACAGTTGAAAAGCGATAATGGTTGCAAACGGCATGAACAAGCCCCCAGCTTGAAAATCTATTTCTCTTTTCAGGACCCTCTTCACGGAACTGAGGATTGTGGTTGAGCATGTCATCATGAAACCTTCGTGCCCCCTGTTCCTGCGAAGGCTCTGCGCCAGCAGCATTTCTTTTATAACCAGATTGGCCCCCACGATGGCGTAGCCCGGCCTGGAAATCCCGCGTGCATCTCTCTCTCTCTCTCTCTCTGTCTCTCTTCCTCTCTAACGAACATTTTGAGCAGCTGGAATTTCTGCTGGTGATTTATATAAATTCAGGATCTCTCTCAAGGTTGTATAGAAGTGGTTCCTGCCAAGAATCTGTTTTTGTGGAGTGTATCTAATCTATATGGGTTGTTTTGTTTTTGTTTTTTTTGTTTTAAAGTCTTGTTTTTCTTTCCTCGAGCCGATGTTTTTCTGTGTTTTGCGGACGATGAGCGTCTCTCACTCTGGGCAAAATTTCATTTATAGGTGAGCATCTTATCTGTGTCGTACAATACGGTTTTCTGTGTCGTGCGTCTCATTCACCCCCAAGGCGAAATGTTTCTTCAAAGCAAGAAACCAAGCTGCCAAGGCTGCACAGTCCGGATTGTGCCTAACGGTTTTGGCACTCCTTGGGCTTCGCATTCGAAACATCTTCCTACGCGGTACTTTCGGGTCAGTATTCCTACGGGGAATAAATGCAAGTCCATTATATCATCCCACTCAAACCCCAATCAGTTCTGAACACGAACAATCGGGCTAAACATTTAAACGGTGTCTTTCTGATTTGTTTTCAAATGCTTTTGGAATGGAAACCCGTCGCCCTCTCTCCAGCGATATCTTTATTTTATTTTATTTTTCTCGGTGCAATATTCCTTTTCCGCTACCCGAATGCCCTCTTGACTTCGGCTCGCTTCTGAAACTGGGATTCTTAAAATGCCAATCTGTGACACCTTGGAATAAATAAAGATGGATGTTGTGTTTATCCCCCCTAGAAACTCCTGGTGTTTGTACCCTAAGCATCGCTCAGCTGGACTGCTGCAGTTCAGCTTCTCGGGGAGATCCCTAAAACACGATTGAAGCCCAATCTACAGATATTGCACGGAAGCATCAGAATACATTTACAAGCGGCCAGGAAAGACTTTCCTGTAAGAAAGAAGCAGAAATAATCTTTAAAATACAAACCTCGCCGTTTAGTTTATGGGTCTGCTTGTGTTGGCAGCCACTGTCTTGCCACTGAAAGGAACTGGGAAGGCACATGAGTATGTTTCATCCCTGTTGTTGTGGCCCGCCAGTGGAGCTGGTGGCAGACCCAGACAATGAGGAAGTTGGGGAGGAACCTGGGCCAGTCCTGGAGTCTGGGGAAGGCTCTGAGGAGGGCTCTGCGTCAGAGGCAGAGATGGGGCCAGGGCCGTCCAACAGTTATCAGCTGCCTTCGGAAATCAGTGGGGCAGAAAAACAGCTGGAGCCTGTTCCCGATGTGCGCATGCGCAGAACTGCCCGGAGAAGGGAGCAACTAAGGAACAAGGGCTGACTTGGGAGTAAAGGCACAGGTGGATGGTGAATGGCTCCCCCCAGAGAACACCTGCTTCTTACCTTAATTGGGTATGGCGCTGTGAGGTGGCCAGATGTGGAGAACTGAAGGATTTCTCCCTTACACAGCTGTGTATAGCCATACCTAGAAACATCTCACGGTTTGTGGCAATGATGATTGTGTGTGTGTGTGTTTGTGTGTGTCTGTATATGCACCATTGAGAACAACAGCAAATTACCAGTGGCACCTCAATGGTGGCAACTTTAAGAGGTGTGGACTTCAACGCCCAGAATCCCACGGCTGGTGTGGTGTGGTGGCCTAGGGGTGGAGATACCACCTCACAATGAGGAGGCTGTGAGTTCGATCCTAGGTGGAGGCAGATATTTTTCTCTCTGGGCACAATGAGAATATATCTGCTGAAGAAAACTCCACATTGGCAACAGGAAGGCATCCGGCCAGTAAACACTGCTAGCTCCATTCAGTTGCCCAGACTCCACCCATCAATGGATTATGGGGTAATTAAAAGATGATGATTAAAAAGATTAAAGGACTCTGAGGTGCCAGTTAGATCTTTGGCCCTCTCTCATTCTTTTGCTAGCTGTTAGTGGTGTGTGTGTGTGTGTGTGAATGCAAGGACTAAGCTTTATCGATAGCACTTTGCAGATTTGCTTCTGAAAGATCTTGGGATTCTCATTCCTTTTATTACATAGGGGTGCTGAAAAAGGCACATTTGAAAATGGCTTTTGAGGAGTGGTGGTTGATGGCTACATTAGCACCGGTGTGGAGCCAGCATCGCTGAGCCGTGAAGGTCAAAATGGATGGATTAGCCTTGGGCGTGGGGGAATTATAAAGCATTAGTTTTGCCCTTGAAAAACCACCAGGGGAAAGAGAAATAAAAGGGTGGTTCTTTAACTGTCTCCAGAAATAATCTGAATATTTTAACTCCATGCACTCTATCCTGGTTTTCAAGCTATCCTGGAGCCCAAAGACGGGGGCATTTATCCCTCTTTTTCCTTGAAAGTTAGATAAAATATAGAATAACAGAATTGAAAGGGGCCTTGGAGGTCTTCTAGTCCAACCCTCTGCTTAAGCAGGAAACCCTACACCACTTCAGACAAATGGGTATCCAACATCTTCTTAAAGACTTCCAGTGTTGGGGCATTCACAACTTCTGGAGGCAACCTCTGTTCCACTGGTTAATTGTTCTAACTGTCAGGAAATTTCTCCTCAGTTCTAAGTTGCTTCTCTCCTTGATTAGTTTCCACCCATTGCTTTTTGCCCTACCCTCAGGTGCTTTGGAGAATAGCTTGACTCCCTCTTCTTTGTGGCAGCCCCTGAGATATTGGGACAATGCTATCATGTCTCCCCTAGTCCTTCTGTTCATTAAACTAGCCATGCCCAGTTCCTGCAACCGTTCTTCATGTTTTAGTCTCCGGTCCCCTAATCCTCTTTGTTGCTCTTCTCTGCACTCTTTCCAGAGTCTCCACATCTTTTTTACATCGTGGCGACCAAAACTGGACGCAGCATCCAAGTGTGGCTTTATCAAGGCCTTATAAAGTGGTATTAACCCTTCACGTGATCTTTATTCTATCCCTCTGTTGATGCAGCCTAGAACTGTGTTGGCTTTTTTGGCAGCTGCTGCACACGGCTGGCTCCTATTTAAATGGTTGTCCACTAGGACTCTAGGATCCCTTTTACAGTTACTTCTATTGAGCAAGGTACCACCTATACTGTACCTGTATATCTTGTTTTAGTTTAGCATTTTGCAGTTAGACTAGTTTTGCTGGCATACATTACACCTTTTTTTTGTTTAAATGGCGTAGAGAGAGGATGGTCTTTTTGCCCTTGGTAACAGAATCAATTTTAGGTAGCAGATTGTT